ATTCCCCTGCCCTCCACCCAAAAAGTATTGATTGTCTCTCATTCTCCTAAATTTATATTCTTTGAGCATAGGGGGTAAAACACTTGATCCCTTACACCAGAGTTTCTCAACCAGAGTTCCCTGGAGCCCTAGGTTTCTGTGAAAGGTCACTAGCATTCTGTAAGAGATTGTTTTTTTAGATCTGTAGATATAAGAATATTTTTTGCAGGCATTCCCCAAGATCAAGGATTACTTCAGGGTAAAAAGGTTGAAAAGGGGTGCCTTGGCCTTTGCAGACTGCCAGAAATAGTGCACATTAAATTGAGGTAGTGCCCTGGCTCAGTGCTAGGGATTCTTAGGAATTGTATTTTTTTCTGAGACATTGAGCCTTCTCTGTCAGAGAGCTCTGGTGCCACAATAAATTACAGTTCCCATGATTCCCTAGCACTCAGCCAGGGCAGTGCCTCAATTTAATGTGCACTATTTCTGGCAGTCTGCAAATAGATGCATTGTTGCTTGTACAAACTTTAGGAAACAATAAGTGACATCCATATTGTATCTGCTGGATGTCTCCTGTAGTTGTTGTTGCTAACTGCTGTCAGATGGCACTTGGTGACCCTCTAAATGAGAGACCTCCCTATTATCAGGATAATAGGAATCACCCTATTATCAATAGCTCTGCCTAGGGGCCTTATCACACGGGGGTCCAAAGCAGAAGGTATCCAAAGCTGATACGTATATTTCTCCCGTGTGTTTACACATATCCAAAGGTAATCCAAAGCTGAAACGTATTTTTTCCCCATGATCCAAAGTCAAAGGGGATCTTTTGACATTCGGATTTTTGGGGAAGTACAAGGGCGAGGCGCGGGAGGGAGCCTCCGCCGCCTCCTCCTCCGCGGCCGAAGCCACCTCTCCACCGGTGCCTTGGGCTGGCTGGAGGGCTGGCAAGTGCCGGAGGGAGGGCGAGGCGCGGGAGGGAGCCTCCGCCGCTGCCTCCTCCGCGGCTGGAGCCGCCTCTCCGCTGGTGCCTTGGGCTGGCTGGAGGGCTGGCAAGTGCTGGAGGGAGGGCAAGGCGCGGGAGGGAGCCACCGCTGCCGCCTCCTCCGCGGCTGGAGCCGCCTCTCCGCCGGTGCCTTGGGCTGGCTGGAGGGCTGGCAAGTGCCGGAGGGAGGGCAAGGCGCGGGAGAGAGCCTCCGCCGCCGCCTCCTCCGCGGCCAGAGCCGCCTCTCCGCCGGTGCCTCTCCTCCGCCGCGGCCGGAAACATTTCGCAATGGCCACGCAGGCGAAACAGATTCCTTTCGGAATCTGTCTACTTCAGTTAAACTTCGCTTACTTTTCGCTTGCTGGCCAGCGTTTGATAAGGTGCTAGGTCTTGCAAACTGGGCTTGAGTCTACTCAACTTTTCCTTCTGCTTTCTGCCTTGCTTAGCATTATTGTCTTTTCTAGGGAGGCATGTCTTCTCAGATATGGCCAAAGTATGATAGGCTCAGCTTAACCATCTTTTCAATGGAGAGTTTGGGCCTGATTTGCTCTAGTACCCATTTATTTGTCTTTTTGGCCATCCGGGGTATCTGCAGAACTCTCCTCCAGCACCAGACATCAACTGCGTTGATTCTCTACCTATCGGCTTTCTTCACTGTCCAACTTTCACAACCATACACAGAAATGGGAACTACAATGGCATGGACAATCCTGACTTTGGTATTTAGTCCCCTGTGGTACTCCTGGGAATTCCTACGGGATTCCCAAATAAAACCAATTTATTCCTTCCCTTTCCTAAGGAAAGCATTGGGTCTTATACTACAAGTAATAAAGAAGACTTAGGACTGTCAGAAATAATCCAGTTTGAGCTCAATGCTAGGGAATCATGGGAATTGTATTTTTTTCTGAGACATTGAGCCTTCTCTGGTGCCACAATAAACTTCAGTTCCCATGATAGCAGTGAGCCACGGAAGTTAAAGTGGCCTCAAGCTGAATTATTTCTGGCAGTCTGTAAAGGCCTTTAATTAATTTTTAAACTATTTAAGGTATTACAGTCCAAAAAACCACATCCCTGTTTCAGTTTAGCCAACGAATGAACAAATTGCAGGCTGCATTCAGCATTCATGGCTGTTTTTGTGGTCCATAGCGCACCCCCAAGTGCTCCAAGTGCTCAAAAATGATCTCTATAGTGTGTGGAGGACATTTCCACCAACAGAGTCAAAATGAAATTTTGCAAAAAATAAAATAAAAATATTTATTTATTTATTTATTTATTTATTTATTTGCTTCGAAATGCCCCCCAAATACCATCTAGGATTCAAGAAGGCCCCCCCCATGTTACCATGTTCCTAGAGGGCATTTGGAGGCAAGTTTTATTTATTTATTTATTTATTGCAGGCGCAGATGTGGTCAGGGTGAGGCTTTCCAAGATCTCTTGGAGGACTAACACAGCCTCAAGCCTTTCACTGTTGTCCACCCTTAGTTTAGACAAAAGTCATGCACAGCCATAGCAAAAACAGGTTCCACTATCCTGATGACATCATGACGGTCAAAGCAATTATCAAGACAAACTTATGGTGAAGACACCAAGAAGCTGATGCCTGGAACTGAAAGTGTCTATATCCCTCTTTCTCAGGTATTTAACCAGGAGCTGTTTCCATAGCAATTTATTTTAGTTTATTTTATGTTACAGTAATCCAAATGAATGTGATGAAGGCATGTGTCACTGTAGCCAGATCTGACATCTCAAGGACCTGGTGCAGCTTGTCTTGCGCTTTTCCTTACATACAGCTACTCCTAAGGTAAACTGATTCTCTTTTTGCCCATAACATTTGTTGTTCTTAACTGCTCTTGAGTCAGCCTCAACTCATGGCAACCCTGTGGATGAGAAATCTCCAAGCCCACCTATCCTCCATTGAGCTGCTTAAGTTGTGTAGACTTAGGCCCATGACCTCCCTAATTGATCTAGCCATCTGGTGTGCAGTCTTCCTCTCTTTCTAATTTGCTCCACCTTTCCTAGCATCCTAGCATCTAGTGAGTCGTGCCTTCTCATGATATGGTCAAAGTATGTGCTGCATTATTATCTATACTATCCACAAGGGTCCTGAAGCCAAACTCCAGTGGATACCAGGGGCCCAATGTATCAGAAAACACTGGTACATCTTGCAGGACTTATATGGGTGCCAAGAATAGTCCCTTATTTCTTTTTTAAAAAGTCTCAGCATTTGTGATTTCAGAACACATCAACACACCTATCCCAATAGTCTACAATGAGCAACAACTCCTAGAGGCCATCACCCAGGTGGGCATGGTGCTTACTGCAGCTTCACAAGGATGGAGACATATTGGATTGCAAAGGAAGTGTCTTTGTTGTGATGCAAATGGATGTTAAATTTCCTGAGCTTTGAAAAATATCTCAGTTGCCTCACGGCCAGAAGAAGGAGGGGCCAGCCTGCAAGCTATGCCCCTCCATACCATTTTAACTAAGAACAGAAACAGCAAAATGCAGGCCTATGACTAACATCTTCAATTTTTTTCCTCCTGTTTGGTTGTAACATCTTGCCTAATGAAGAAGCCAGTGAAGCTTCAAAAGCTTGCAACATGTATATTGTGCATTTTGGTTGGCCAATAAAGGTATCACTGTTTGGTGGATTTTTGATTGGTCAAGATAACTGAGTTTATTGATCCTAATTTTTAAAAAAAGTATACATCCTAAAGCAGTTGTCAATTTGTAATGCCTCATTTATGCTATCAGGTCTTCCTGGAATAGACTAATATAGGAAAAAAATCCAGGGCTTTGAATGTCCATACAGGGGACACATTTTAGTAATACGAGGAATAGAACTTGAAATGCTCTGGTTGACTATTTTCTGGAACATGATCACAATTTCTTTTTGGTACATGAGAAAGGGGGGAAGCAGACGGAGGCGCCGGAGATGCCGCCAGATGGAGTGCCGCGGAAGCGCAGCCTCCGCACCGCGGCGCTCCGGCGGCGTCCCTGGAAGGAGC